GGTTTACTAAGATTGTGACTAAACATAGATTTATTAGAATATACTGGGAATTACTGTCGTTGAGTAAATATTGTGACAAATCATTGCTAAACAGATTTACCAAGAAAACTCACTTAGCTTTTTTAACCACTAGCTTTCCCAACGTTCAACACTCTAATAAGTTGTATTACCATCTCTATTCTCAGCAGATTTGATTTTATGTTTTTAGGTACATTGATATATATAATATAAATATATAGACGGATATATAAACACATGTATACACCAACATGAACAAAAATAGTACAGGAAGCAGAGTGTTGAAACTGAAAGGAAGCGATTCTCTCAGCAACTCTCTGAAAACTAAAACAAATAAAATACCAAACTAAATCACGATATATACTCTAAGCTCGAAAGTTGGAAAGTACACTCTAGGTTCCCGCAGTGATTTTATTCCCTCTGCAAATTCACTCCTGAAGCTGTACAGAAGCAATTGAGAGATTTTAGAGTTAGACGTGAAAGCATCGTCAATATCGTTTCAGTTTTAGATGATTTTTGGGTGTGTTTTTACAAATATATTTATTCTATTCCCAATAATGGAGCAAATTCGTGTTCCGAGAACATATATTTGCATTTTATTGAATAAAAAAAAAATCAATCAATCCAATACTTTATTCAGTGTTTCAAGAAAAACTTTTACATTCGTTTTCTCTTCTTTATTCCAAGTTTCTAAAGTAATGAAATGAAAAGTCACTAAGAAATATATTCTCCAACAATTTAATTTAATAAAAAACCACTTTCAAAAATATTTGAAATTCATTGATAAACAGAGCCAAGGATTTCATCAACAAAATTCAATCTAAGTTCTAATTCATGAATTTTCAATTAAACTAAAAAATAGTTGATTTCAAATAATACAACTTAGCTAAAAGACCTTTCATGAACCACTAACTTATTAATTTAAATATCTCATCAGAGTTATATGAAGGTACATGAAACTTGGAATGAACTTTTAACAGTACAGTTAAGTAAGCATCCTATATGCTTATGATGCTGGTTTAAAGAAACAAATTTGACAACGAATATGACAAAGATGTGAATTACGTTGTTCTGAATAATACAAGTACTGTCTAATTTTATAACTTATAGAGAAAAGATGTAGTTGATGGTCGTTTTTTTCTTTGGCAATCTCATGCTTCAAGTAACGTAACAGAGTATTAAGTTGCTTTCCATGTAGTTAGAGAATCGAATTGAGAAAGTAAATGGAGCACTGGCAGACAAACGAAAAGTTTCCAGCAAGCAAGAGAGTTTCAGGTATAGATGCATACGCGTGACGTTTCAACAACAATATATCTATATACATATTCCTGTATTCCATCAAGTTATATGAGGCTGATGGAACTCATATTTGCTTGGTTGGAAATTGCTCTTTGGGTATGTGGTTGAAGTATATATTCATCTAACGTAACTTACACCTTTCAGGGTAAACGCCATTACGATATTCAACGAGATCTCTATAAAGCATGGTTGCTGGAATATATGCTTGAAGATACGTGAGGAGGATTAGAAAGTGCATCAGGTTTTTTAAATTGTGGTAATCTTCTTAGCGACCACAAACACGCAAAAGTAGTAGAGTCGTCGATTTAAATGCACTAGAGAAATCAGCTGAAGGAAAACTAAGTTTTCTTAGACTTTTGTGTGTGAATGTTTGTAAAAGAACAAGTAGGAAAGGTGTACAGTGAGAAAATGTTGGAATGATTACAATTCTTTTTTTAAACGTGCTCAATGTTCCATCGAACGGTTCGGTCCAATTCAGAGATTCAAACGGCCCCAGGGAATCCCTTGACCTGGACAGAATCAGAATTTCTAAGTGATGCGCAAGAATGCAGGTGCAGAAACTTTTTACAACAGTTTCTGCACCACCATCACTAGCTTTTTTTCCTCTTTCTTTTTTTCAACTCTTCTCTTCCTCGTTCTTCGTTATATTTACCTCTTTTTAAAGCAATTAGTACGCAGCAATACTGACAACAGTTAAGTTTCTTGGAAGATCTAACCAGCAGAACTACTTTTGCGTTCGTTTGTTCCAAGGCTGGAAAGTGCAGTCAATATTACACTCTTTAAGTTGCACTTCTTAGGCAGCTTGGTTGGCTGATAACTGAAAAGGCAGAGTTGAAAGTAAAGTAGGAAAAGGAGATGACAAGAAACTAACTCGTACTGCCTTCCGAATCCTCGTTGGTTAGCAACCCTTAGTGATTATTATTCTTGATGAGCTGAGCCACCCTCTCTTGTAGTCTTTGCTGCTGCAGAATTTCATTAACACTGATTGCTTGGTTCGGTTCGTTGAGGAATTTCTTTGTACGAAAGAACATTACTAGATTGAATCTAAGGTTGAAAATCCATGGAAAAGGACTCAAGTGAACTACATATAATCAAACTTTGAGGCAAATTGGAATATGAAAAGAAAAAGTGTGAACTTTTTAATTCACTCTTTTACTTACTTTCTCTCACTCTTCATCTTCTCTTTTCAAATACAATAATTTATTCGTCAAGTTTTGAACCTTTCATATATATGTGTATACTTGACATTTAACAACTCTTTATGAAGAAGCATTAAAATTTCAATGTTTTAATCTAATTTTTATTCTATGCACAAAAAAAGAAAGTTATAAAAGAGATTATTTGTACTAGAAGTTTTTTTTTATTTGAATGACTAGTATAAAAGTCCTTATATTTTTACAACTTCAATATTTAATTCTATTTTTTTTTTCTTTATCTAAAAAAAAAGAAGAATCATTTAGAATACTTCGGTGTTTATTTTTAACGACTACTATTACTCAAATGAAATCAAGTTTGAGCTTCTGGTGCTCTTGACGTTAAACAAATTTTCTAAAAAAACCCAGGATTTCTAGAGTTTTAAACTCATTTGTTTTATTCATGAAACTCAAAAAAAGGTAGGAAATTCCATTAGAAATAATCAGTGTCATTCAGGTGAAGTTAAAGTGTTAGAAGGTTTGATAATAGTGAAAAATTTCAACTACTGAATTTCTTTAGCTCAGACAATAAAGTTAATGCTTAGGAATTTTTCATGACAGTTTTTCTGATTAAAAATCATGACAAGAAAGGACAAGATGTATATACATATACAACAAGGACTGAAGTTAAAGAGAATCCACCCTTTTTCGGCTTGTCTAATCCCTTGGGCGTCATTGATGCCTGGATGATCGATGAAGTGATGAAGCATGAATATTGTGACTGAAACCAGTCACGGGTGGTTATTTAGCTGTCATCCAAGTGTTGACATGCGATACTGGTTCATGATTATAAGTTCCCAGTTTGTTGTGCAGAAATCTGTCAGATATTAATACAATTCCCCTATATGGAATCCAACATTCCATGGAGTAAACTTTCCTTCAAAGGGCTAAACATAAATTCAATCATTCACCATTACCGTCAGCAGTAAATGTCCTGACTCGACTATCAATTGGAATAAATTTTATTTCATTTTCCCACATTCGAGTGTTATTTCACCCCTTATTCATTTATTTATTTATCCTTATGTTGATCGGAATCAGTAATTGTGGGAAAAGATATTCGCTTATTCTTAGAGGGATTTTGGGATAATGATTAGAGTTGTTTTGATCGAATGTCAGGATGATTATTATTACATTGGTGTATTGGTGACAGATCCTTTTAATATAGTATAAATAAGATTTGGTGATATGTGATTTCTATTTAACTTCATCGTAGAAGCCAAATACATGTATAATGATGATAAATAAATTTATTAAAGCTCTATTAGAGTTTAATGGTATCTTAAAAATTCATTAATCATCCAAAAATAAGTAAAACTTTATTTTCGTTGAATTAAAATAAATTTAAATGTTGAATAAATAATTGTATAATAATTCAACTATTTTATTTATAAGTCCAGTTATTAATTATTCTTTCAACTACATTTCAATGTTTCATTATTTATTATGTTAATGATATGAAATATAAGCTGGAATTTTTTTTTTTATAACAACGATTTCAATAAAATTAATTTTAAAATTCTTTTAAATCAATCAATTAATCACCTAAAATACTTTTAAAGGTCAACCATCAGTTGAGTAATACTCTAAATAACCTTTGTGTGAGACACAATCACATTCATCTATTGTGAAACAGTGATCTAAAGTTATTCTTAAAAGAAAACATTTATTTAAAAAAAAAATGCTGTGATGAAGGTTTTTGTTTCATTGTAAGAATGTTAGTAAGGAAATATTAGTAGACAAGTTTGTGAATTGGTTGAAATGATAGAGAAAAAAATAGTTAATGAACTCTCAAAGTATGCCAAAAAACATTTAGAACTTTCGAGCTACTAAGAAATTCCAATAGCTTAACGAGATTGTAATTGAATGTAACGCCTACATCATCAAAGGAAAGTTCTTTGGCTTAATTATATAGTGTCATCTACCTAAATGTCTTTCACTAGCTATAATTTTCCACCTCGCAATTAGACGCTTCTGGCTGGGTCCATTGTTCTCCTTTAAAACACCAGCTAACGATATCTCATCAAGTCATGAGTGTAGATCATCTATCTCATACCTTCCGGATTGTGTTTGTCTGCTGATTAACACTTGCCTCAATAACCTCGTATTATTCTCATCAAATGAACATTCAAATAATGATTAAAGCGAATATCATCCCAATGTATTACTAACAATGTTTTTGTTATTCTTTAATGACCCAACAAACTCAAACTATCATATTCTCCTACTATTCATTATTAATATTAAAATAATTTTAAAAAATTAAGTATTAATTAACCATAATATTTTTTAACAAAAGTTTATAAACTAAAACAAAGTTTAAGATTGAAACAAATATGTTGTAAATTTATAAAAAATATAATTCAAAGAATTTTAATTAAATTTAATGTTATCATGACCTATTTACCAGTTATTTAAATTAAAAAAAAAAACTATAAAAATATTACTCTCAGAATAATTGCATAATAAAAATTATGAAATTTGTTACAGGAAAGCTCCTGCACCAATACAGCATCAACACAATGAGAAGTTTCCAAATCTGGCACTGAAAAATAAAAACTCATCTTTCAGCATATTGGTAAGTTTATGCATGACATAATACCGTGATAAATTGTTGAATAAAGCCTGAATGACATTCATAATTATTATTAAGCGATCATCTCGAGAATCACAGAGTGAAAGTTTTGAGTAATAAATCATATATTAGTCCATACTCTGTTTACTAGACAAACTTTCAATTTTTTTAATATCGTTCCGAATTGATTTGTCTTCTTGACAGCGTAAAGGGGTTGCAGTAGCAATAGTTTTTCGTAATCACGATGAAAGATAGCCTACAGTACTGTTACAAAAGCTCGGGCATCGCGTGCCCACAGACTAAGAATGGTTTTGAGATCAGAGAACGATAAGAGCCACTTTGTCTCAAGAGGTAAAGAGGGCTCTATTTCGTATTCGTACTTAATGGCTTTACCTTCGCCATTCTCGTTTCCCTAGAGAAGTATCTAACAATATGCTCTTAAATATTTTACATACCCACTTCAAATCGATACTTCATGTCTTCAATCATAATAAGTTTATCAGAACAAGTCATTTCAACAATCCATAAACGTTTAAATAAATTAATCTGGAATTCTATAATAATCCAGCATTGTTAACGAGATTTTTTATTCTATGAAGCTTCCTAAATTGATGCCAATTATTTCCAACAATGCAGCATAAATATTTTAATGAATTCTCCATTTATTATTAAGTTCACGTTGAAATATTTCTTAAAAAAATAAAAAATAAGCACAATTAATCAAAGAAGATGTAGGTTGAATTTTACTCAAATGATGACGAAGTTGGAACTTTCAAGTGGAACTTAAACATGACATTTAATTAGAAGCTCTTGTGATACACCTTAGATACAGAGGTATTCCAGCATACCATCCTACACTTCTTTTGTTAAGCTCAAAGGCATCCTTCTAACATGACTCATGACCACGTCAAATGAAAACTTTTGATAATTTAACCTTGAACAATTTTATTCATATATATATATATGAATAAAACAAATCATTTATCAATTTTTATATCATTTTTTTTAAATTCACATTCGTCATACTTACACTGATTTATTTTATCCATTATCTGCTTTTACTTTTTACATAGCTTTCCTTTGAATGATAAAAAAAAATATAAATCGTTATAGAATTAAATAATATAGATTGTATTAATTTTTTTCCTGTTCTGTTTTGCTCTTACATCAATCAATATGTATATGGTGTTGGTACTTTTGGTGAGTTCTTTTTTATATGAAAGAAATAATAAAGTTGATGTGTGATTTTTATAGCTAGAAAAGAAGAGAACATGACTAAGGAGAAATACACTCTCTGCCTTAGGGTAGGTGGATAAAATAGTTGAACATCATCGTTCATTAAGAATCCATTCGTTGGATTGTAAAAGATAGAAACACATATGACGAGCAAGATTTCTGATGTTGTTGGACGTCTCTTCATCTTATTATTAACATATATGTACACATTATTGAATGCGGCATGTTGGTATAAAGAAAAATAGTAAAGAAGAAGAAAGAAAATATAAAAATAAATAAAAGAATTTTTTATTGCAATATTTTTATTACAAATAATAAAAAGATCATAACACAATGAATAAATATATTTGTGCTATTTCATATTTCTGTTGACCTAGAATAAAACGTTTCTGAATATTCAACGCACTTTATTACATGTATTGAAATGAAATTTTGCACAGAAAAGTTCTGAATTGAGATGAAATAAATAATGGTTGTTTAATCAATGGGATTTATATTGGAATGAGAAAAATGATAGAATCTATTGGAGTTGTTGGAGTCGATAGTTTATTGAATAGAATTTTATTGTGAAATAATTAGAGAGTCTTTTATAATGTAAATCATGGCACATGACAGGATATCAAAATTTGTATAATAGATCATAATTAATAACAATAATAATGATACGTTACAATAATAGAAAGAAAACAAAAAATGTTGAAACATTGATATCAGTAACTACATTATGGTAAACAGAAAGACAGCCGTACATTCAGACAATGAAACACGTTTAAATTATTGCAACAATTATTGAATTATTTATAAAAAAAAACTCCAATGCTTAATAATCATTAATAATAATATTTTGTCTCCAATCAACATCTTCTATAATTGCCAGCATGATTATGACCCCCAATGAAAATGATCATCAACAATCCTGATCTAATAAAAGAATATGCCCGAACAAATAAGAATTCCTAAAATAAATAATACTCTTGATTGCATCCAATTAAATTCTCATAACTAGGTTATTATTATCAAATATGCAGAGCTACACAGAGAGATATTAGTAAATAGAGAAAAACTAAAGTAATTTGCAGCGAAATTGCATAGGAAACAAACAGAAAATGAACTACACATGCTATTTTTCATTAAATTGTCATATTTTTCATATTTTGCAAGCTGAAACTACAAATAAACACGAATAAACATGAGCAATATTCCAATTGAATATCAAATAGGATCATATAATAGATGAAGTACTCAACTATAATTCCAGTTCAGTTACCAACAAATTGGTCCAATTCGTAATCGAGCTACAGTAATCGAATGTATATTCAATACACAAACCTATCGTCGATCCGAGGGTCAGGTCTCTGTAATTAAAACGCCACACTAGCAACGGAGAATAGAGAACTAGGTAAACGTGACGTTTCAGCTAGTGTTTCTCTCTGTTTCCCTCACTGTTATGTCTTTCGTTCTCTTTGCAATGCACCCTGACAATGGTGACACACACCCTGAAGGCAACGATTCTTCAGAATCTCTAGAGGTAGAGCTGTTTCAAGCTCCACTGTTCATACACGACTCCACTCACTGTAAAGCTGTTGCCTGCTGTTACATATACAACTGCCGCGACAGCTCCTGTGTAATTGCTCTGTCATGGAGGCTGTGACTGGAACGATTTCGAAATTTTCCAGCTAGAGATGAGAGAAAAAAAAATCGATTACTATCACACGAATAAGAGACGAGGAATTGACGATGCTTGTTTCATGTTGCCAGCTTGAATTACTTCGCTGATGAGATATTGCAGTCATGGAAAAATTATCCAGACTTTTAAGGATCATCATTAATGAACTATTCATTCTAGAGAGCTATTCAATTTTATTTAAATAAAAAAACGTACATCTATGATGAGGGATCTTTTTTTTTCTGACAAATGAATAAAACTTGGTGTGAAGATGATAATTACTGATAAAACTTTGTTGTGTTGCAATAATTGAATACAATGTGCACTATTAGATTATAATAAAATAAAATCATCAAGGAGGATTAATATTAATAATTTAATTGTAGCTGAATAATTGATTGATACACCTTTTTAATGGTAATTATTTTTATTAAAAGCATTTGATTAGATAATTATGATCATAAAACATTTTTCTGTTTGAATTGATCATACATTTATTTGAACAATTATCTATTTAATCTCATAGATTAAATTATTTCATATTAATTAATTTGTTTCTTCTTCACTACAAAAATTATATATTTACAAATCATTACCAATTCCGTTTTCAAAATATTTAAAATAATTTATTCCCTTATCGATTTATTATAATATTGACAATAACAATTTAAAAATTAAAAAAAAAAATATCACTAATGCCATAAAGAATCTCAATTAAGCCAATTATAATTTCGCAACTCAATGTATCATGTTCAACGATGAATTTTTCGAAATAATAGCATCAACATTTCATCCGATAATTCAGTACAACGTGATGGAGTTTCTTCAGAGTTTTCAGAGTAGATGTTTCAATTTTATCGAATGCAATAGGATTACTCAATAAAACGTGTAAGAAGTTTTTACACGAGTTAAATAGACGTTTTAAAGAGCATTGATTGGAAAGGTTGTTTTTTTTATCAAAACAATTTTCGTGTTGGAATTTTTTGGTAGTATTTATTTAGTATTTGTAAACATGTTAAATCAATATGTAGTGAAACGTAAAAAATAAATCCATATCAACATAGATACCTAGAATTTATCCGTGACAAAAATTTAAAACAAAATTTTTGGAGGCTGTTATTGACAGGTTTGGTGAATTGATAGAAATAATGGAATCATAAATATTCAGTTGGGTGTTTTATATTCGTTACGAAGTGGACTATTTCATCTGTCAAACTTCTTGATGTGTCTATTTAGTCTAAATTATGTGCAGTAAATTCTATCATTTCCAATTGAATGCCTGTTAAAAATATTCAAAGAGACTTTCTCACAGAGAGGAGAGAAATAGATATTCCAAGAGTGACGTTCTCGTTTCCAATCGACAGCACAATTACGCAAGAGCCATGGTTCCAATATTCGCACGAGCAGACGCGCGAACATCCATCCAAGACATTTAATTATCGAACTGTTCTATATTCGATTGGATTTGAAGAAAAATTTTGCTGTAAAAATTTGTGAGTAGCAATAATGTCAGTATGATCAATCATACGTATATCCTTGTGTCAGGAGATTAGTTATGTTCGGAAATAATGTAATCTATAATTTGAATTTTAAGATGAGAGGTATGTTGAGGCAAACAGCAGTCATTTGGTGACAACCTCTTACCAACGTTCATACAAGTAATTTTCCCTCAGCAGTTTTACCCTACAACGTGGCAATTAAGGGGCGTTGTAATGCAACCGAGGCCAGACTGCATGAACATTAACGCGCCAGGCTGAAGACATTCAATTACAAAGCCGTATTCAATTAAGGCACCTCTCATGAGAGAACAAAACAAACGAACCGACATACTCCCTTTCACACTTTCCACTTTACTCATCAATCCATTCATTCATTTTTTATTTACATTGATAATTATACTATTGATAAAAATACCTGGTGATTCAGTTCTCTCTACTATTTGTACAAGATTTATTTATTTTCATTTTTTTTTTGATGTTATTAATGGTGTCTAAAAATAATTTCTCTAGAGATTTAGTTCAATTAGCTCAGGCCTTTTTTATGGCTTCTTGCAAAACTTTTGCTATTTATTCTCTATGTTTGATAAAGTGAAAAATTATCA